CGGCCTCCGCGCCCGCAGCCTCGCCAGCCGTTCCCCGCGGCCGCTTCAGAGCCAGGGCCCCGGGCGGGGGGCTCGCAGGCGCGGGATGGCGGATTTCGATGAGATCTACGAGGAGGAAGAGGACGAGGAGCGGGCCCTGGAGGAGCAGCTGCTGAAGTACTCGCCAGACCCGGTGGTGGTCCGCGGCTCCGGTCACGTCACCGTGTAAGGCCCTACGAGGACTGGGAAGAGGACGGGAGGCGCGGGTTGGGTGGGCCCCAGTACCCCTTGGGGTCCTCCTTCTTCGAACCCTCGTCCCCGGTGACTGGCGCGGGACGGGGGCCTTCTGGAAACGCCTGCGACCAGGAAGTGAGAACTTGCTCTGTTTCCATTTGTTTAGGACTCCCAAGTGGGGACAGACACTGTCTTCCCTCCTTCCCACAGCCCTGTAGCAGGCCCCACGGTCCGGGGGATATGTGGGATCCCAGCAGGGAAGATGGTCTGCTTTATGGACCATCCCTACAACGTAGGGATGTAAGTGCATATACATTTTGTGGAAACCACCTTTATAAACCTTCCCTTCCCCCGTTATTCTTTGGGACTCTGCCTTACAGTCTATTGACATATGGCTTAGAGGTCAGATTGGGGAATGTAAGACCCCAGTGGCAGTTGGTAAATGAGGTTTACTGTCGTTTGTGCCTGTCACACGTACACACAGGGTTTCCCAGTTCCCTAAGAGTAAATTTCTGCAAAACGAATTCAAGTTTCTGCCTTTATATATAATAGAAATATACAAGTGGACATAAAAGTAGGCAGATAGATACATGTTTGCAACGAGTCACAAGTACTGAGTTTCCTGTAATCGTTCTGCTTTGGGGCACGGACTCTAGGTTGGCTTCATTTCTGATAAGGGTTCCTGTAAGACTTCTTAGCAACATCAAAAGTCCAATATTATTCAAACAGTAAAGGATGAAAGCACCCTGAAAGGTCATGACTAATAAAGGAATGTGTAGACTTGGAGCAAATAATGAGCTGTCCGGAAGGAGGAAGTTTTTTAAGTTTTGTAACATTTCCCTGATAAGTCCGGAGTTTGTCCAACTTGGGGTATTGATACTCTTTTGCAGCTGATATCTCTGGTTAAAAGTCCTATGACTTTTAACTTATGACTTTTAATCTCAGACTTCCTGTACTTGCAGATCGCTTTATCACTGATAGAAAAGGCAGCAAGTCTGAAGATGTCTGGAGCACTTTATTGTGTTGTGATGTAGGGTGAGTGGGATGTGCTGTGAATAAGTCAGGGACACACTGAGACTCCTCAGACAATTGTCGGCCTTTCTCAGTGTGGTTGAGAGCAGTCATACTGACTAGCCATGCTGTTGTCGGGGTATGCTTATGTAATGCTTTGGTTTCTTAGCACCTGCTAAGTGTGTGTTTAGGTGACTTAACAGAGTAAAAACACTGCATAATCATTGTCCCAGTACCTGGATGAGGAGATGGAACTTGCACCATAATAACAGCTCTGTTTTAACTGTCATCGTATGCTTAATTAAGGAATATAGCCAATTGTGAATAATACAACTTAAATGTGTATCACAGTGTTTTTAGTGTCATAACCTGCTATTTCAGTTTTAGTTGGACTCTTTAGGACTTTTTTTCTTTTTGTTTTAAACTTAAGGACTATGGGTGCTTTAAGAAGCAGTTACAAACAATAAAAGGACGTGGTGGCATGTGTCTAATCCCAGCACTCTGGAGGCAGGGGCAGGTAGATCTGTGAGTTACAGGCCAACCAGGGCTATGTAGAGAGATGCTCGCTCAAAAGGATTTCCAAACTTTTTCATGTTGTCTGTGATTGTCCGTAAAACCCTCATGTCAAATCAGAGATGGCAGAATTGTATTTACAAAGGTTCAGCTAGGACCGGGGATGAAGCACAGTGGTAGAGTGTTTGTCCAGGGTTCAGAACAGTGCAACAGAAAGGTTCAAGTACAGTTGCAATGTCTCTTTTCAAGAAGAAAATCTAAACACTTTGTGGGGAACTAGAATAGGCAAAGTGCTCAAATGGTCAGATTTTGATTGTAGTTGACTGTTTGGAGTGGTTAACAGAGTGGAAATTAATTATTAGTGGTTTTTCATCTTATCTTTCTGTTTGAATCACCTGGCATTTTGCTCAATAAGCACTAGACTCTTTATTATTATCAGTATTATAAATAAGTACTTCCGTTTGCAAGTTAACAGTGATTCATTTAGTCTAGTTTATCTGCCCATTAAAATCATCCAGGAAGCCCCAGCTCTTGCTCCACCCTTTCTCCTGGCCAGTGGTCCACATATGAATGAGGCCCTGGTACATGATGGGCTTGGGGGAGGGTCTTGTAGGTGATTCTGATTTGTAGCCAGGATCTCTGCTGCAGACACTGGTGTTAGTGGTGTTTACTTAATATGTTTGTGATCTTTCTCAGACAGTTCTTCTGATAGTTTGACTGGGACCTTCACCTGCCACTTCTTATATAAGTTCCCTTCTATGTCTCTCCAGTTCACATGATGATAGCTATGTTCAGACCTTTCTAGATTAAGGGTTAAATGAGATAATGTATGCAAAGAATGTGCTAGTGTGTTGCTGTGCCCAGGGAATACCAGCCTTTATTAATTATTACCTTCCTCAAGTAGTTTTCTACTTTGAGAAAGATATGTATAAAATACTGCATTAAGAAATCAGCATCGGGGCTGGAGAGATGACTCAGTGGTTAAGAACTCTGACTGCTTTTCTAGAAGACCTGGGTTTAGTTCCTAGCACCCACAAGGTAGCTCACAATTTCTGTAACTTCAGTTCTGGGGGACCCGACACCCTCACACAGACATCCATACATACAGGCAAAACACCAATACACATGAAATTAAAATGAATAAATTATTTTTAAAAATCAGCATTGCCATTTTCAAACCAAACAGTGGCTCCTTTAGTTAAGTCTTTTAAAATTCTGAAACAACTTGTATATATAAGAATCTCTGTGCAGTGAAAGCGTAAGCCCGTTTTGTGGTGATAAAGGTTTGTATGTTACTGTAAAACTGTGGCCATTGTACATAATATTAGGCATACTAGACTGCATAGCGGAGTTTGCACCTGCAAAAGTTTTTGTAATTAGTGTTCATACACTATTGTAACTATGCTTCATTTTCCTTTCCTTTATAAGTATAAACAGGGAAAACTATTAATAATTATAACAAATCTAATTTGTTGCTCTTACAGAGGACTGGGTTCAGTTCCCAGCACCCACGTGGTAGCTTGCAGCCAGCCATAATTCCAGTTTACAGGGGCTCCAACAGCTTGTTCTGACTTCCATGAGTACTAGGCATACCCTTGGGGCACACACATACATGCAGACAAAGCACTCACACACAAAAGTAAAAAATAAATCTTTAAGCAATTAAAAATCATTGTAAAACATGTCAAGTTACTCCCCTTTTAGCTAAAAAGTTGGTTAAAACAACTTCCCCTATCTCTTTGAAAGCAAATGGTATTCTAAACAGATAACAGTGTCATCTTTAATCCAGGTCAGACTGAAAAGAGTCAGATCTACCTGTAAGCTTGCTTTTGCTGTTCAGTATTTCTAATTTTAAAAAAATTATTTATTTTATTTTATGTGCATTGATTTACCTGTATGTATGTCTGTATGAGGGTATTAGATCCCTGGAACTGGAGTTACAGGCAGTTGTGAGCTTCTGTGTGGGTGCTGGGAATTGAACCCAGGTCCTCTGGAAGAGCAGCCAATGCTCTTAATCACCGAAACATCTCTCCAGCCCCTATTTCAGTTTTTTTTTAAATGGTTTTTCAAGACAGGGTCTCTCTGTAGTTTTGGAGCCTGTCCTAGAACTAGCTCTTGTAGACCAGGCTGGCCTTGAACTCACAGAGAGTTCTGCCTGTCTCTGCCTCCTGAGTGCTGGGATTAAAAGTATATACTACCAAAGCCTGGCTTAGCTCCATTTCTAATTTTTTTAAGTTAATAAGCCCACTATCATTCTTATTTTAGGAATCTTTTTATTTACTTGTGATGTGTCCTTTTTAATATTTAGATGAGCAGTATTTTTTTCATTGTTAGATTTGCATGTAGCTTTTGAGAAGAATGTTGTGTAGACTCATATGTTGAAGGAAGATCATCTATGGGAGAAGAAAATGACAAATTCCCATAGTTTCATAGTATTCACATACATGTAACTTGGAAGACTTGAATTACAAAAGTAGATTTTCTTTTTTGACTTCTCATCATGTAATGCAAATATAAAGAAAAGAGACAAACATGTTAGATAGTGTTGGTCCGATCAGTTCCTATTCCTTCTTTATTTGAAGGAGTAGTATGCTTGTTTCTTTAGTAATGGAAAACACCCTGGCATGATGATTGGTATTCACATACAACATTTTCCTCACAGTCCCAGGTTGGTACTTGAGGGACCACTGTGGTTATTACATGGCATGTCACATAATGCATCAGAACTCACAGTTTGTTCCAGCCCATTCCTTCTGTACTCGGAAGCACCTTCATTATGTTGCTTGATGGGTCAGAAACACAGGCCAGCCAACTTCCAGCCAATCAGGTTTAGTATGAGGTGGTCACTCTGACCTTGTTGAAAGGCAACTTAGGAGCCAGGCAGGATACAGGGTCTGGACCCAGAAACTGTGAAACCCAGGACATACAAAAGGTGTAGTTTCCTGGATGACTCTGGTTTATAATTTGAAATTTTGTAGTTCTTTATCTCAGAATAAAATATATTGCTAATTTATTGGAGACTTTGATTTTAAGATTTTTTAAATCATATTATTTACTTTGTGTGCTTGTGCTCTTGTGAAAGTGAGGGTACCTTCCCTTCCGTGCGGGTCCTTGCCAAGCTTGGCAGCAGGCACCTTTGCCTGCTGAGCCATCTTTGCAGCCCAACTTTGATTTATCATAAGGATGATAACTCTTTTTTTGTTTGTTTGTTTCTGTTTTCAAACAGGGTTTCTCTGTGTGATAGCTATTGCTGTCCTGGAACTAGCTCTGTAGACCAGGCTGCTCTTGAACTCACAGAGATCCCCCTGTCTCTGCCTCCTGAGTGCCAAGATTAAATGTATGCACCCCCACCACCCAGCTAGGATGATAACTCTTAAGGAATGTGTTAGTATAAAAGAATTTTTAAAAGTTAAAGAAAATAATTTAAAAAGTAAATCAAAGCTTGTATTAGCTGGGTAACCTAACAG